ATCTCTGCTTTAGCAACAACAGCTATTTCATATGCAGACTCAAAAACATGCACTTAATCCCAAATGAGGGTGGTGAAGGTAGGCAGAAGGAGGCAATAGGTAATTTTCAGCCTTGGTTTAACAAAACTATGTCTTTGTGTAGTGACTTGTAAGGCTCCATACAGTTATACAAAGACAGTTATCTGGGAGCTCTCCAGTCTCTTTGGAAGGGTAGTAGGAGAGGCTGAACACCAGAGTGACTGAGCCATAGGTTTATTAAAAGTTTCTCCATTCATATGAATCTCTTCTGGAGAAAGTTATCTCTAAAATTATGTGCTTTTGCACAACGTCTTGCATTGACCCTTCTTGCTGTGAGCAACTCAGGTAATGCCATTTGAAATGGCTTGGAGATGGGAAAGAATGCTGTGTAATTCCTGTAACAGAACTAAAATGCACTTAAGGCAATAATAAAGCAATTGGTATTGATAAATGGTTTTATAAATACCATACTTAGTAATAACATTCATTGTTACAGTTGCCAAAGATATTTTTTCAAAGTGTGGAAAAGTAAGTGTTTAGGCAAATTGGTGGAAGTCTATGAAGACTTACAAACAAGTTTTAACAGAGGCTGAAGGAAAAAGCAAAATTAATGCAATGGGAGGTACTACTCTTGTTCTTTTTCCAAGCATTTGCTTCAGGCCATTTTCAGGGACAAAGCTCTGAGTAAAGTGGATACTTGCTTTTACAGGTAGAGGTAAATTTATGTGCTAAACAAATTTGTTGGCACAAATTAATAGTAGTGTAAATGCCCATATAGCTAAGCAGTAATGCTACAAACTGAAGTATCTTGTGTGATGCTTAGTGACCCTGTAACCCAAATCAATCTGTAGGCTATTTTAATGAAAATAAAGATGTTTTTTCCATGATTTGTGAACCTGTTGGCTGTGAGCGTGTGGTGGCTCACGCATATATACACCAATATATGCAAATGTTATGGTCAGACATTCAATTGATACAGAGGTTGTGGATCAGTTGAGCAACTCCAGCTTACAGCACTGGAGTTTCTTTTAATACGTAATACTGTGAACAGCAGAGTGAGAAATTTGAAATTTGTTTAATAAATTCCAGTTCAGAATTATACAAATGGTGATTATGTTCCAGTGTATGGTATGATTTCTGGACTAGTTTAGTTTTTGTGATCCTGATGTATATAGTTTCTTTGTGCTTAGCATATCACTAACCAAAGCTGATGCCCTGATTCTGGGAACGGTATGCAGAACAGCCACTTTGCTGCAATAAAAAAAAAACACTGGTATTTTTGGTATAAAGGTTCTTGAAGGCATGAAAAATGGTGTCAGCCTCAGGGCATGCAGCAAGAGACATGCAGGGTGCCTGGGTCATTTGACATCTGTTACACTGGTATAGAGTGGGCACCCAATTAATTTGCCTGTCTGAGTTACAGTTGGATACTGTTACTTTTATTTTAGAGTCTGGCTTCTGGCAGGTGGTGACCTGGTGCAAATCCCTGCCTTGAGGCTAAAGCAAATTGATTTTGCTTTTGCTTTACATCCAAAGAAAAGGTTAGGTATTATTTTCAAGATTAATATAGGGTTGAGGTTTAAATAAAATTAATTTTACTACTTTTCTAGCAATGTTTCAGTGTACATCTCCTTTCTTGTGCTCTCTTCTGTCCATTAAACAAAGTTTTAAGATCTAGACCTTGCCTGACTGGAGTATTCTTGTGACATATGCAGATTTTTCTGGTTCTGTTTTACTATATGCACATCTGAGTGATTGACTGAATATTGTTTCCTGAGGGGGATTTAAATATAGACAACATTCAGCCACTTTTGGTTGCCCCTTCATTACAGTTCCTCTTGCAAACACAGGGACTAAATCAAAAGCCTCTTGTGTTGGAGGAGGGGACTTTTCACTGAATTTATTAAACTTCCGTTTGGTCAGGTCCCAAGCACCTGCTTTTGGTTTGGCTCTTTTTTAGGAGATGGTCCACTGTTTATGCCAGTCTTATGCAGGAGTCCATATGAAGAGGGGACTGGAGCACACATCTTTGCACTCTGAAGTGGCTATTGCAATGTAGAGAAAGAAAAGTGTGGGGATTTTCATGACACTTGGCCCCTTACAGGGGCTGTAACAATAGATATGGGACATCGTGTCCTCTTTCCTCCCCACTTACTCTAAACCACCATACTGAAACCAAGCTCAGTCCTGTCTGAGCTTCTCAGTGAAACACTTAATGTGGAACAGGTTGTTGGCTGAAGTGTGTTTACTCAAAGCACGTAAGTGTTTGTGCAGTTAAATTGGCTTTCTAGAATGTTGCTTTTACCCTTGTGTGGTGTCCTTGATCATCCTAAGCTTTTGCTGTGGAAGCTGGAAGCACATCAGCTGCTCAGCATTTGTGTGTAAGCAGGAACACACCTGTCCTCGCTAATGACTACTCAGTGCCACTTAAAGGCTGATCAGAGATGAAGGCTGTATTTACAGAGTAAAAATTGCACTAGTTTCAAACACAGCCTGCAGTCACAATGAAACCTTAGTCAGAAAGCAATTCTCAGCATATTTTAGAGTCCTAGGACAAAAAGTGCTATCCGTAATAGTTTGCTTATTCACCACTGACACTAGAAGCACCAAGACTCAGTAGCTGTCTTGTGACTGACCTTCAGGATCTCTAAGTATCTTTCTCACGGCCTTCTATTTCTGTGAGAATGTTTGCCTGACCATTCTAGATA